GTATACTCCAAAGTATCCCGGTGGCGGAAGAAGAACATGGTCCGTCGGCCTGGGTGCCCTAACCCGCCCGAACGGCCCCACATACATTTGGGCAACAAGGTAGTCGGCCGCGCTGCTCTCCGGCTTGATCAGAAAAATGTTTGTGAGGTCCAGGTAGGAGACGCCAGGCCCACTCTTCGGCCTCCTTATCCTTTTCGGCTTAGCGGCTCCCTTAACGGCGGACACCGGCCTCGGGCACGGAATAACAGCTGAGGTGGACGCAGCTGCGTCCTCACCTTTTGAAGATGAGGCGGACTCCTCGTCCTCACCTTCGTCGTCCACCGCCTCTTCGGACTTGTAAGGACTTAAGTGTTGTATCTCCTCCTCGAACTCCTCGAGCACCTCATAATCGAGTGACCTAATGGAGGGCTGGTCGTCGTACGGATAGTAGTCTTCGTTCAAGCTCTTCATCATAACTACTACTACGAGCCTAAGGAGAACAACTTAGGATCTAAGGGTGTTCAAACGCCTAACACTAGATCACTAGCCTAGGAAGCAAAGTATGAAAAGTGCAGAAGATTGCGATGAACACTAACCTTGAACACAAAGAACACGAAGAACAAGCTTGGGAGTTTATCTCTCTAGAAAATTGGCCAGCACTTCGACAATTCAGAATGCAAATAAGGTTTCTCGTCGGAGGGGGAGGGGTATTTATAGAACCCCCCCACCCAACGGTCACTACACGTGGCGCCCTCCCAATGGCCACATCAACGGCCACCAATGGGAGGCCACCACGTCACCAACGGGCCAGGCCCAACCCACATATCCACAGCCCACTGGCAAAACATGCTCTACGGCCTATACACTTGCCGGCTTCACGAGTGCCCGCAAGCGCCCACAACGTCCTATTTGCTTGCCAGGTTCACAAACGCCAACAATAAGGAGATGACAACGGCCAGGAACGTAATGAACGCCCGTAACGGCCACAAAACCAAAGGAACAAAGAACCTACAGTCATCGGCTCCTCGTAATGACCCTTGATGATAACTCTCTACAAGCGATCTGCGCACAAGGGTTCTCCCACAGGGTTACCTTGGCCAGAAAATCGCCATGAGGGTTGGATTCAGGGGGACTACGGAGAGGCCGCTTCGGCCAGGGACTCAAGCAACTCCTTCACCCCTCACACTCTTCGGCTTGAAGCAGTGGGAGACTGGGGGACTACACCGGCCTCAACAAAACAAAAAGGAACAACACAAAGAACATGAATGTAACCACAGAGCATGGCCACATCGTCCACGCATCACAACGGCGCCTCATCGGCCAGAGGCACATAACAACGGCCAACAAGCCACCTAAGGCAAGGACATTCATCGTCCTCCGCCAACAGTTAATCATGATGGGCTCTTCGGCCAAGAACACGAAAGCCAATCAGCGACGGCCAAAAGGAGTGCGCAAACACCCTCATCGGCCACCCAAAGGAAAGGACGCCATCGTCCTCAAAGCAAGGGTCAACCTCAGTGGCCTCATCGGCCCAAACATTAACTTCACCCATCAACATCCAAGAAAGGGAAAGCGTGCCTTCAACGGCCACCATTGAAGCAGGACATTTATCATCCCCAAACGAACACATCAAGGAAACAACGGCCTCCCCCGCCCACAGCGAGGAACAGGTAACGGCCAAAGCACAGAACAGGATCACCAAAAAGGAAACAGCGCCAACGCCGCAACAGCTAACGGCCCGGGAATGCCCGCATCGGCCAAAAGCACTAAAGCACGGGAATCTACTCTCCTTCACTTCGTCTACGTCTCAGCTTAGAGAGTGGGGGACTCCTCATGGAGTATATGGGTCTGAGCCCCCGGACCCACATACTCAGAAGAACAGAAGACACAAGACACTGAGTGGCGCCCTCGTCGGCCAAGGGACCCCCGTCGGCCGAAAAGGTGCCAACTCAGATTATGGTCCTGAAGCCAAGGAACCCGGGTGCCCTCGTCGGCCGTGCCCTCGTCGGCCACGCCCTCGTCGGCCACGAAGACTCCACAGAACTGGATTCTACACTCACTTATTTGTACAGCCCATTAGTGACTTTGTATTCGGCCCAATAGCGGTCCAGTTGTAAATGGGCCTCCCAAGCCCAAGGCTTGGGAGCCCAGCCCGTATTTTCTCTATAAATACTCCCCTTGGGAGTAGTTATAGGGGTTACAAATTCATTCTATTGAAGCATATTATTGCACTTCTCTCTCTAGCTCTCACTTCTCTCTAGATATACTCTATCAGTTACATTTAGTCATTTGGAAAATGTGTATTATGTCAAAAATAAATGTTCGCTATCATGGATAAAAAATGTTGCGATAATTTTGTAAGTGCTAGTAGAATTGTGATTTAGCTTGGAGAGACACATTAATTAACTTTAATGATTGTGCGATTTATCTGTTTTATGATAAAAGTGTGAGATTAGGTGGGCGGACAGGTGTCATAAGCTTAACATTAGATTGACGATTAGGTTAAAGTGATTACTGATTAGGTATTAGTTTCCCTATACACTATTTTTTTAAGGTGACAATTCCGGTACCTTTCTAAAAAATGGGGTACCGTACCTATCATTCATTTGATTGGACCACACCACTTTATCATTTTTAATTTAGATTTAAATAATTCAACTGCTATATTCTCATTGGTCCATGTGGATAAATGTATGATACCTTATGGGTACCATAGAATCTACCTTTTTTTAAAAGTTTTTTGAAAGGACTTGACTTTTGTTAACATCCAAGTATCCAACCTAATTTTTTTTGATCATAAGTATCCAACCTAATTAAAAACCCACTTAAAAAGCCGCCGTCCCACCCTCTTTGATTCTCTCCATCTATCATATTAGAGCTTGGGCCCCGAGAATTCTTAAACGTGGGATTTAAATATCTCCGTCTAATTAACACTTGGAAATGAGGAAGTTATGCGTTAGCAAAAAAGTGAATTCATATACTTCTTCCTCCGTTCTTTAATTCTTGTAAATTTTTGCACTATTCACACACCTTACTTCGACCACGATTTTCTATTAACATACATAATCAAATTATTACGTATAAAATGTTATTGAATTCATATCAATGTGAATTTTCAAAACATTAACTTTTTATAATGTTTACTAATAGATAATTAAATATAATTACAGTCAAAATTGTGCGTTGAAAAACGTGAAAGTCAAACTGTTGCAAAAATTAAAGAACGGAGGATAGTAATTGATATTGAATTGATAAAATAAAAATATAATAAAAGTAATTTAGAATCACAAAATCTTTATCAAATTTGATATGAAACAATCTTGATGAAACCAAGCAAAAAAAGAAAGATGAGACGATTTTAGTGAGATTATTTTATATTTGTATGTAACATTTTATCTCACAACAGAATATTGTCAAATCTATAACGATTAGTTTATTAGCTCGTAATTTTTAGCCGACTTTAGTCATTTGACCATTCCAAATGTTGCCAATAGGTTCCATGATATTTTGTTAGTCAGATTAGGCATAAAAATGCAGGTAGAGTCGATCCACATATTTTGCAATTTCTTTGAGTTTTTCATAAATAATATTATTAAAACAAAACTTATTTACACAAATATGACGATTAATTATTACAAGTAGAATGTTGCTAGACATAGTCTTTTTCATTCATAATTATTTCTTAAAACTTTACTAGAGAGTAGCCGATGGTAAATTCGCTTCAATTCAATCTTTGAACTACACGGCAGATCTGAAAAATTTCAGTCCAAATGATAAAACCATTTATCTGCCAAACACCTTGTAGTTTGATGACATCATTGTGACACTCCAAAGGAGGATGTCACAAGTTCGAAACTCATCTCAGTCAAGGATGTTGACATTTAACAGAACAAATACTATGAAGAAAGTACAATAAAAAAACCATTTATCCGAATCATCTGATCATACTCCAACCCACTTTATAATAGCGATTTGTGTCTTAAAAAGAGTGTTTATCTACTTTTATTTTGTTTAAAAATGTAAGTAACTTAAAATAACTGGTGCCTTTTCTTTTTGTATTGCTTTTTATCAATTAATACACATGAAAAATGTATTTTCAACCAAGTACCTTGTGATCTGATGATATCACTGCTGATCTCCCAAAAAAGAGGTCGCAGGTTCGAGTCGTGTCTCAATCAAAGGTGTTGGCATTATCATGATCAAATACTATAATAGATTTAAAAGGATTTTCCAAAAAAATGTACTCCCTCCGTCCCAATTTGTTTTGCAAAATTTTCTATTTTGGTTGTCCTAAAATGGTTTTCCACTTTCTATTTTAGGTATGTAAATAAGAATAAAGTGACAAATTTACTCTTACTTTTACTTTTTTCTCATTAACTTAAAGACATCTACTTTTAGGAAGATGGAGAAAAATGTAAAAAGCAAGCATCATTTATTGCAATTCCTTAATCCTTGTGCCGGTCAAAGTTTGCAATTCAATTCGGGACGGAGGGAGTATTTTCAAGAGTTCTACTACGTATTTTCTTTACACTTGAAATATTTCTTTTGTCACACTATCAAGTATCAACTCTTGACTTGGGGGTGTTTGGGTGCACATGTTTCACTCCAAAACGTTGATGTTCTAGGATGTTTTTACTTGAACTGTAATTTGCTGGTCTGTTCTGGTCTGTTCTGAACTGATCTGGGCTGGTTTCTTTGTATTTTTATAACTATACAAATCTGGTCTGATCTGATCTGAACTGGTCTGATTTGGTCTAGTCTAATCTGGGATGAATTATAATTCAAGTAAAAACATCCTTATAATTGGAAATACATCACATTGCAGCGTTTTTTCATGAATTATCAGACATTTTTTTTATATAATCTCAAAAATATTTCTCTTATTCAAATTGGAATGAAAGACAATTTCTTCCTAAATCTGTACTTGATCTTATGCGAGCGAGCACTTAAATTTGTATTTGACTGCCGTTGAGAAAACCCTTAAAAACAAATGGGGTGAAACCCACATCATCAAAAGTTTTGGGGCCGAAGGGAAATCTAACCCACGATTCGGTTCGCCACGGCCACCCACCAGCTAAATAAAGAACATTTCTTCCTTCTCCGTGCTATCTTCTACCTTCTCATTATTACTCCAAAGGATAAATACACCATTGAGTAAAACAGTCCCCTCTGTTTTTAGTGCTCTAATTAATGATTACTCTGTATAATCTTTTGCGCTCTGAATAATAATTCATACGGACGAACTACTACGTTTCTGTATATTTGACAAACATATATACTCGTAAATACACCATTGAGTAATACGGACGAACTACTACGAACTAGTCCTGGACGATCAATTTGGATCTTGCCCAATCAGTTAACCAGGTTCCTCCATTGATATTCTTTTCTCTTCCTTTGATTATATTACTGTGTGATTTATTGATAATGAAATAATGAATAATGAAATCATTTGCTTCACGCACTAGATTGATTATATTATTGTGTGATTTATTGATAATCAATGAACTGGAATTAAAGGTTTTTATTTTGTTCTTGTTTGGAAACAAAATTCATTGAATGCTGAGTTTGCACGACGCTACTACATGCTACGGAGTATTATTATAATAATTAAGTTAACGTATTCCAACCTTTTCCTGGCTGGACTTTTATGGGATTGTTTTTCTTGGCTTACTTGTTTGCTTTTGAGCTGATTATCTCTGATTGGTTTTAAAATTTACACCAGCAAATAACTATATATTTTTTGTTAAATCACGTAGTTCTTGATAAATTTTGATTGTCTATTTCTTTTCAGCTATCACATGTATTATGGAGTAATGAATTAGTAAAATAAATATCACCCTTCCATCTGAAACCCTCCAATTTAACAAGGGCTAAGATAAGTTACTCATTATTTATTAACAGTTTTATAAAGATTGAATCTTTGTGAAGTGAATGAATTTTTTCATTAGTACATAAAATTGAATTTTCAGAAGTTGTTATATATACATTTTTTAGTTTTTTTTCTTCCACAGGGTTTTGAAGAAGCAATTATGTTCTTTTTTAAGAAACTGGGTTTTTGTAGGAGTGTTGAATAAAATGCAGACGATTTTGCGGTCAGTAAGACAATTTAGGAATGCTGGTTTTGTGGCACATCGAAATCTTTGGATTGATTCTAGGAGCCAGTCACTATACAAACTTTCTAGTACAAGTAATGCTGATATTAGTATCTGGAAACATCCATCTTCTGTGATACCCAGATTTATGAAAACTAATGCTGATGGAGTTGCAAATAGTAGAGGTGACCTAATGGGATTATATTAGTTTTGTTTTTCAGTTGATATTTGTTTCTTTTTTCATCCAATTCATTGAATCACAGAAGGGAACAGAGCAGGGCCTCTTGTAGAATATGAAAGAAGAATTGCCATTGGTGACCTTTTTGATGGGGATGCTTGCCAGGTAAATCAGATGCCCTAATATAATTTGGTTTAATTTATTGCTTGTATATAGTGTTTAGCAAAGAAAATCTAAATTTTATGAAATTGGAATGGCTGGAAACCTGCTTTAGGTATGGTTGTTCATTTATTATTTTTAAATATTTATCTTGATTCTTGAGCTGTTAACAATAACCAGAGCAAACCCTATATGTACCAAAGTAAAAGAGAAAAAAGAAGAAGTTATGAGCTCTAGATAGATGGTTTATTTGGTACAGAACAAAGACCTTTAGTGTATGTTTGGATCCCCTAAAATTGCTAAGGAAAAGCGAAAAAAGGCAAGGGATTTTTTTCTATAATGATTTATACATTAAAATGTATCTTCCTTTTTTCTAAATAGTCTCTCCTTCCTATTTTTCTTACTATTTGCTCTAGATTTATTTCCTTCGTATTTTCTGCATTCCAAACAGACCCTTCAAAATTTATTATGTGGCAAAATTTAATGCATTGTCATACAGAAAAGATCTCACTAAGTTGCTATCTCAATTAGTGAAAAACACAATTTTTCTATGCTTCTTTACTGGTATTACTGCGATGGTGGTTTTGTAGGTGGGCACCCTGCAAGAACTTCAGAGGCTTTATGATGAGCTAATTGAGAAAGCTGTTGAATGCCGATTGGACCGCTATGCTGCTTCGGACAAAGCTGGAAGGTGCATATTGGTTCTGAATATTTTTTACAGTAAAATTTTTCTTATTTATAGTCACGCTTTGACAGTTTGCTCTTGAGTCTATTTTAGGAGTAGATGGTTGTGGTCTCGTTTTATTCCACAGTCCAGTTATGCAGCCGTGAAAGGGTTGTACCTTTATGGAGGAGTTGGAACGGGCAAGACTATGTTAATGGACTTGTTCTTTGGTCAGCTGTAAGCACCATATTATAGACTTATATCATGTTTGTTTTGGTTCCACTCAACTGTTGAAGAAAATAAATAATCATATTTTTCCCACTATCCCAGGCCTTGTAAATGGAGAAAGAAGAGAATTCATTTTCATGACTTTATGTTGAATGTCCACAGTCAACTGCAAGTATGACATCTTGGTTCAAATTATTACAAGATTTATTATTTACCGCATTTGTTCTAACTCTGCCACATTTGGTGTTGAGAATTAACATCAGAAGCATAAAGGTGTGCCAGATCCACTTGAAGTTGTTGCTGGGGAGATTTGTGATGAAGCAATCCTAATATGTCTTGATGAATTCATGGTAGGCTGTGATTTATTTAGAATTACGCCTTTAAAAATAGGTATTCATGGTATGCCTTGATTTATTCATTGCTCACTTATGAAATTCATTATTTTGCTCATTGTTTTCTGCAGGTGACTGATGTTGCTGATGCATTGATTCTGAACCGTTTATTTGGACATTTGTTTAGTAATGGAGCTGTTAGTATTTCTGATCCCTCTTGGTTCTTAAATTTCAATTTTCAAGTGAAGAAAAAAAATAGAGCGGCAATATAAGAGCTTTTGTTTACAGTGTTGATGAAAACAACTGCAGATTCTCGTATCTACGTCAAACCGTGCCCCAGATAATCTTTATGAAGGTGGACTACAAAGAGATCTATTCATGCCTTTTATTGCTACTTTGAAGGTGTCAACTTTGTTTCCTTGATGTCTGTTTATAAACAATCCTGACTATTTGAACAAAAAGTAAAAACGTTTAGTTTTACATTATAGGATACGAAATCAGATTTGCTTAGAACTTTTTAAACTTCTGCAAGTATTTATATTTCTTAACCGAATTATAATAGAAATATATAAATAAATGAGTGAACAGATATTGGCAATTGATTTATTGAGCTCCTTCAATATTACCAATCACCTCCGAATTGTCTCTCCTTTCAAACTTCTCCTCTATTTTCTTTCCCCAGCATTTTTTGGGTTCCAGATAGATCCGAAGTGTCTCTAAAATTTTTCCATGTGAATCACTATCTGTAGTATGACTAGAAACAGAAAACTCACCTTTGAAGTCCAATCAGTTTGGTATATAATCATTCTTCATTATTATTTCTTCCAAAGTCGTGTAGATCGGCATTCAATATGAAGAAAACTTTACATTTTGTAGGAAAGATGTGTAGCACATGAAATTGGCTCATCCGTGGATTATCGAAAGTTGACATCGGTATATTTGAAACTGGAATTTTCTTTTCTTCTTAAAAGCCACGTACTCCCTCCGTATCTATTTAGTTGTCCCAGTTTCCTTTTTGAGACGTATCAAATTAATTGTCCCATTTACCTTTTTGGAAAGAAACACACTGAAAAAGAAGCTACAGTACCAAAAATCTCTTACTTTTCATAAAATCTACAGTAATTATCTTAAACTACGTAATAAAGCAAACGGGGCAACTAATTAGATACGGAGGGAGTAGTATTTAATATTTGTGTGACACTTTATTGGTTTCCATGGTTATGGTAACATAGGGAGAAGAAGGTTTTTACTTCATTGGCATGGACTTGTCAAGTCTTCTCATGCAAAAATTTCAAACACTGGTAGGTCAGCATGATGCCGTTCCACAAGAGGTGGAGGTTGTTATGGGAAGAAAATTACAGGTTCTGCCATTGTCCCAATATTTCCTTTAGATCTCTAATGTTTTATTAAAAGCTTACTCAGTTGTGCATATATTGCCAACATTTCAGGTTCCATTTTCTTGTTAATTGAAAATAACTTTTTGAATAAGATAGCTTTATTTTTTGGTCCGTTCAATATTTCATGTTTCATTATTACCGATTATTTGTTATACGGAGTATTTTTTTGAAGATTTTGATCAAGATTTTTTTCCTTGTATTTTATTTGTTGATTGACTTAATTCTTCAATCTGTCATGTTCTTTTAGATGCCAGATTTTCTTGCTTAATATTTTTTAACTCTTTGAATAAGAAATCATCATTTTTTCCTATTCTGCAATATATCAGGTACCTTTAGGTGCCAATGGTTGTGCATATTTCCCTTTCGATGAACTATGTGATAGGCCTCTTGGAGCAGCAGACTATCTTGGATTATGCAGTAAGTAGTTCGGTTCTTGATTTTGTCTGGAACATGGAAGTGTATTTTGTATTTGCTCACAGACTTTTATCTTCCTATTTTTAATGTCTCTATTACTTGGTTCTGTTAGAATCTGGTCCATAACTCCGAAAATGCTAGGAAATGGAAGTATGGTAGAAAACATGAACGAAAGAACATGTGGTGTAAATTAAAGGATTATCTACTCAACAATTTATTGCGGATAATTCTTCAAATAATTTATTTATTTATTTTCATTGTTAGAATAAGAAATATAAATAGTTCACGAAATGATTCATTTTTCACTTTCATTTTCATTTATCAAGAAAAAACCAAGCATAAGGCACTAACTAATTTACAGCATTTTCTCCCTTGGCATTTTCCATGATCCAAAGATAAGCTTAGGCTTATCTGAGTCAAGATTTGATAGTCACATGGAGCACGGTAACACCTTTTCAATTTTTCCTGCTCAATATTCCCTCACACTTTGGAGAGAGTGAAGTGGAGGGAGAGAGTATACACATAGAGGATTGATCTCTTTTTATCCCTATTAACTCCGATTTCATATGTTCATTCATGTTTGCCGGCCTCAAAATGTTTTAGGAATAAGGTTTGGATGTTGTTGTTGTAATATTTCCTTGCGCTCTACTATTGATTGCTTTTGGAGGTAATAAACATAAAAATCTATTGCTTATGTCATCCTCTTCTTTCTAAATTTTTAAACAGAAAAGTTTCATACGGTGGCATTGGATGGAGTTCCCACATTTGGACTTCATAATAGGACTGCAGCATATCGTTTCGTTACCTTGGTTGATGTTAGTCCGTGTCTCTTCTTGGCTTCCTTCATAGTCTGTTTTACTTGTCTTTCTTTTTTGCTAGTAAGAATGTTCAGAAACTATAAGCAGCAGTTAAAACTACTTACACTTAAAACTACTTATACCATAAGTTGTCGAGCATGCACTTCTCCATTGTTCTGGGAAACGTTCCTTTTCAAAGTAAAAGTAGTTTTCTTACTTCAAAAGTCCTCATTAGTACTCATTGAAAATTGTTCATCCAAAGTCCAAACACACTGATGGTTTTTCACGGGATTACAGGTGATGTATGAAAATAAAGCAAGAATGATATGCACAGCAGAGGGCTCCCCGTTAGAGCTTTTTGAAAGAATTGTGACCATCGCCGATGCCAAACAGATTGCTCCGAGGTCTTCACGGTCGATCAAGAAAGACGATATTGACCTTTGCGTTGATAACGAACTTGGTTTTGCAAAAGATCGTACAATTAGTAGGTAATTATTTTATCTCCCATTCTCAGTCACTGCACACAAAGTATTTTATTCATATGGCCTCTGAAGTGGTGATATCATAACTTCAGAATATGTTTGGTGGAGTAAATTTTTACTGGAATTTCTGAATGAGCAAAAAAATACTCCGTTGTTTCTTTTTTTAAAAAGAATCAAGCGTTGGAACTTATACCCGTTCATATAAGACAGCGTTTTGTTAACAGAAGTGGTCACTGGTCTAACGATGCGTTAAAAAGATGGTCCCTAGAACTCCAGAGTCTATGAAAACGACCGCAGCATTACAGGAAAAGCTATTCCTAGAGCTTTTCTGTGCATCAGTGTATTTAAAAGGTTTCTTTTGCCAGCTAAAAGAAGTATAATCTCTGAATGGGTTGGGTACACATGCAGATTGACGGAGATGAACAGCAGAGAATATTTAGACCATCATGCCCAAATGTTGGGTGAGTGCAGAGATAACCGCTCTGGAAGTGCATCGTCAAGAGGCATATAATAGCTAGAATAGGAAAGAGTCAACAAATTCTTGTAAAGGTGGGGAAGAGCCAATGTTGTGTGTAAGATACAAAATAAAGTCACAGGTTTGGAGAGCAATAATTATAATGCTAGTAGTTCTGTATAATCTTTTTTTGAGGTAGTTTAGAGAACAAATAAAATGTTTGTCTGAGTATGCAATTGTATACTTGTGCTTACTTTTAATATGTAATCATATCGTTCATCTCACCTTTTTCCAAATACAACTATTGCATTACAAATGGCGCTTTTGGTGCTTTCCCCTAGTTAACATTCATTCAACTGTCTCATTGCAACTGTGTTCTGAACCGAAACCAACACTTCTAAAGTTGCGTAGCCCAGTTCCTAAACCAGGCAGGTGAATCACTTGGACGGTTGGACTAGACCAGAACCGACATGCGGAATTGGCTCAACCTGAATACAGTTCTAATTCCTCCGAAATGGGATGAACCTAGCTTTTGTTCCGGACCTCTTCCTGGTGATTCATTCTTTTTAAAGAAGGAACAAAACCTGGCCGATTGGTTTGAAAATTTGAAATCTGGTTATGGGTGACTGACTACATAGGGGTTGGACCGTTGGAGCCACACTTAGAATTGGCTTGGGTCCAGCCCTATTTGTATGAGACTATGAGAGAAGTGCAATTTCACAATTAATATTATTCAACCCTAAATTAGTAATGTCAATATGCACTCTCTTTTGTCACTTTAAATTTTATCGAAGTTTGTGGAGTACATGAATCAAAAAACTAAAATTTTTATAATCCAAGTTTGTGGAGGGGGGGATGATTTTAACGTAATTTTTTTAGTTTATATATATTTTTTTTATCTAAATTATCATTAATATGGTTCACTGGATGCTGAAATGAATATTTCCTTGGTACAAGATGATATCTTTGTATGAAATGAGTATTGTATATAATGACAATTAGTGAAAAATTATATGGAGTAATAAAAACGAAATGGCTTTCTTTCCTTATAAAATGAGTATACGTTAAAAATTACCCCTGCAAAAAAATATCTAGTTGAAAATTTTAACATCTAAACGTGCACGTATAATCAAGTATTAGAGCATCTCCAATGCTACAATGTGCACGGTGCACATGTGGTATGAGAGAGAGAGATACAAAATATTGATTTTATGACATTTCTCTCTAATTCTTTCCACGGTCTTATGTGTTTTTGGTAAGTTTTTGTCTGCAATGTCAACTATAATGTCTACATCTAGACATTGTGCTTGACATTGTGAACAAAAACTTACCAAAATAATGTAAGATCCTTCAAATAAGGAGAGAAATATTTTGTTTATTGTTTTTTAATTGGTTATTTCTCATGCCACGTATGCACCGTTAACGTTTTAGCATTGGAGATGCTCTTAGAGTGTACAAATTATTTTTACCCTTATTTTTATTCATGTGTTATTTTTTTAAAATTGTACTCCCTCCGTCCCAGAAAATTGTCCAGATTTCCTTTTTGAGCCGTCCCAAAAACTTGTTCCACTTACTATATTAGGAAACTTTTTACAAGCAAAAAACCTATTTTTCCCTCTTACAGATTTACCCTCCCCCACCAACCTACTCGGTTTACTCCGCATCTCCCATTCCCACGCCATATCTCTCTCTCATCTTCCTTCGTTATCACTTCCCCTCCTTCCTTCGATATCACTTCCTCCCTCTCTTACAGTTTTCCGGCCATTTTCTCTCCTCTCCTTCCACTCTTGGGTTCGTTGAACTCTATTTCCTTCTCTGATTTCAAATCCAGTTTAACCTTAGCTTACCTATTGATCTAACCGTCTGTCCTAATTCCAAATCCCTAAATCCGACTACCATGGTAGATCTACCTGCAACGAATGAATGCATGTACGATCTAATGGTTCGGGACAGTGAACAGGACTCACAATACTAACCTGGTCAAGGCCCGATGGAGGTTATGGTTTCGGACAGCATTGTGGAGCCCCTGGTCTGAGAGGGTCAAGGTCCGGAGGACCTTGTAGTTCTGGACAACGTTGTGGAGTCCCAGGTTCCAGACGGAGGAGGTCCGGAAGAGCTTGTGGTTGCGGACAGTGAAGAGGAGACAGATGAGGAGGAGGGTGAAGCTACGATGGAGCTTATGGTTCCGGACACTGAAGAGGGGTGGGAGATGACAGAGAAGGAGATGGGAGACAAGCTGGCAAGAATACAGAAGGAAGTGCGGATGCACGACATTCGCCATCCTGTGCTAGAGGAGTTCTAAAACTGATCTACCCGGCTGGGAATCAAGGATGTGGGACGTTGAAACCTAACAGGGGAGTTTGTTGTTTCTGTTTCTCTTTCCCAATCTTTCAGTCATTTGCATTGCTTCTCTGTATGGGCAGTAAATTGTTGTGGAAATGTTTGTCTGTGTTGTGTAGATGTGTTTGATTCTGGGGCAGCAATGATGATTTTAGGGTGTTCTTATCCGCTGAAATGTCCTTCTTATGATTCATATATTGTCTGAGAATTGTTGTTTTGTGGCTTGTATGAGTATGTGAGACTGGTATGGCTAATATGGTTGGTGTCCATTTCGATTGTATGACTGAACTTCATTGCTACTCATGTTTGCGTGCCTAAATTGTTTGAGTAAGGGATGGCATCAGACTGCGAGCTATGATGTCATGTTGCTATGTTGTTGTTGTGATGACCTTCTAGGTCTAAGCATTGTAGCTATGATGACCTGAAATGGTCTGAGCATTGTTGCTATGATGACCTCTAATGGTCTGAGCATGGTTGGTTGCTATGATGACCTTGTAGGTCTGAGGATTGGTCTTTGTTGTTTGTATGAGCCTGCTATGATGACCTTAAATGGTCTATGCATTGGTCTTTGTTGTTTGTATGAGCCTGCTATGATGACCTTAAATGATCTGAGCATTGTTGTTTGTATGGATGGACTCGGGCCGGGTGGCCTGACCCGGAACCAGCCCAGGACCGGTACTGTTCCGGCCCGACCTGAATCGGTGGCCCGGTCAGTGACCGGTCCGGGCTCGGGTCACCCAAAACAAGGCCCGGCCCGGCCCGAGTCCACATCTAGTTGTATGTATGAGCCTGCTATGATGACCTTAAATGGGCTTGAGCATTGTTGTTTGTATGAGCCTGCTATGATGACCTTCAATGGTCTGAGCATTGTTGTTTGCATGAGGTTGCTTTGATGACCTCAAATGGTGTAACACCCCCAAATTTCCCACCCAAAATAATGATATATTTAAAAGAAATACTTTATTCATTCATCAAAGAGTTGAAGAAATACAGTGGAAGTCTAAAAGGGAAATGGATGTTACCGCCACATCCGGTCATCTCTTAACCGAATGCACATGCAAATCAAACAAAATATTAAAACTAATGAAATAGTAATTAAATGTTTATTTCATGACTAAATTTAACTAAAGCATCTTCTAATTCGCACTCAAGCTCGAGCAATCCATCAATCCACATAGGCATCCAACTCATCACCTGATAAAATTTTGAGGGAGAAGAGAGAGACAAGAGAAATAACAAAAATTAGCTTTAGAGCTAAGTAAGTACTACCCAACCCCGTAAAATAATCAGGTTTGGTGAAAATAGTTTTTATATAATACTTATATAAAAAGAACTCACTCCACCAAAATTCTTTTCTCTTTGAATTTTTCTTAAAATTACTTCTTTACTAAAATCCTCAACTTTTCTTCGAAAATATTATTGTAACTCTTCTTTTTGAACTTCTAAAAAAAACAAATCTTCTTCTCTAACTTCCTAGTAATTTAGAAGGGCGGTGCTCAACCTTTCGACTGAGCCCGGTGGACCGTGGTTACGAACGGCCACCCCGAACAAGTGTCGGTACCACAACTGCTCTTGCGGAAACGAAACGACTACCTTAAGTGTGCACACCCCCTAAAAGGGATTCCAAGCCCTCCGAGTAGTAAGTCATCCCGAGTGGTCGGAACCCAACCACCCCACCTCTAAAATTGTTGAATGATTAGGGACTACTACTATAACTTCTTCTTAAAAGGGATCATAGATCCAAATGTCACTTGAAACTTAAACTGTACTTCTTAGTAGTAGTAGCTCTAATCACCCTCCACATTTATCCGAATGTGGAAAACCGACACCTCAGATTACTCCCGAGATGCTCACTTCTTATGAAAATGTAAATTTTATTTTCGCTTAACAATACTTCAAAAACACTTCTTAATTTCTCTAAAAAGTCTCGAAGGTATTTAAAAATATTTAATACCCCAAAAGTACTTGATTTATATTTCTTAACTACCATATAGATAGTATATAATATCTCCTCAAAATAGCATACACAAAATTTACAATTCACACTTAATCACATAATGCATAATAAGCATATAATACGAGGAAACAATTTTGGATTGGCAGAGAAACTTACCTTAAGTCCTGATGCTTCTAGTTATCCTCCTCTAATCCGGTCTCTAGATAATCACCTTTTTAATTAAATATGATAAAATTGGTCACTTATTCTATTTGTAATTACTTTACCCGATTTTCTCCTTTATTTTATTTTTCGAATTTATTAATTTAATTAATTAATTATTCGAGCTAATCACTTTTTATTAATCAAATTACCTTATTAATTCAGCATTTCATTATCATATTTGAATTCTCTAATTAAATGAAATATCCGAATATAATTAACTTCAACATCCCATTTTTTAATTTAAATATCATCATTCTACTTATAAATCATCCACATAATTGATTATATTTTAATATTATTAAAATATACAAATCATGAACATATTCAAATTACTTCAATTATATTTTCGTACCAAATAATTGTCTCTTATGATTTAAGCTATTTTAAACTAATTCAGTCATTAATATAACAATCCTTTATTAATTATAATCTAGTCCGATAATAAAAGGTATTAAATAATTAATTCAGTTTATCAAAATCTTTTTATTATTAATCACCTATACCATTAATTCAATAAATATGTAAAAGTCTGAATTATAATAAAATATTCAATTCTCAGGATTACCTTAATCAACATTAATAGTACATCCGAAAATTATAACATTTATTTAAATTACTAATCATCATCAACTTAATTAATTTTATTAATCATACACTTAATATTTCCGAGTCCGTAATTATGTTAATTTTGTTAATCTACTTCAATTAATCCAATAATTAGTGAAATTAATGTCTATCCAATTTTATTTAATCTAATCATGTTATTAAGCCCAAATAAATAATTATTATTTTAATGAGATATTCGTTTACCAATTTTTATTAATTAAACCATCAATATAAAATCTCCTTATTTAATTACTTAACTAGTTTTATATGGCTCAATTAAACTAAATAGCCTAAGAATTGACTTTATAAATTAGTAACCGTCTATAACTATATTTTGAGTCTATATTTGACCTAGGTTGTCCATATATCTATTTTATAATTATTTTCCATAATTATTCCTTTAATTTCATATATCTATTAACCGGTTCAGTTACAATTAAATATACTAAATCTTAATTTTTATTAATTATAAATGGTCCCTAAGGTCCTAGTTAGTCATATATTTATCCTAGTTTACTCCAATATTTATTTCCTAATTATTTTCGTCATTTAGTTAATTATTTACTAAATGTGTATAAATTGGCCCAATTACAATTAAATTCATTAAAAATAGCTAAAAATATTATCTTTCAATTCTGGTTGGTCCGAATACGTATATTTATATTAGGTATTTAATTTCTATTTTTCCAGATTTTATTTATTTAATTTACTATTTTATTTTTAATTTTTAATGCAACTGGGCCGGACTGGCCCAAATTCTTTTAATTTTTTTGGCCCAAAGATTAAGCCCACAAGACAGACCCCAGCCTTGGCTGGGTCGTCTTCTTCGTTGAATCGCCGGAATCGACGTGAAAACGCAGAGGGGGAAAGGGACTTACTTCGTGGCGCACGAACGGCAGCGGTAGGGGCTCCTCCTGGGTTGGAGACGGTCGGCAATGGACTGGCGGCAGCGGCGGTGTCCCCCTTCTTCCTCGTTTCTCCACCGTGGAAGTTTGCCCGACGAACTCCGGCGAGGCTTTTCTCCCTCGTTTCACGACCGTTTTCAACGATTCTTTCTCCGTTGGATTCATCTCACGAAGGGGAAGGTTTCAGAGGTGTTTTCAGGGCTTGGTTCTGGCTAAAACGATGGGTCGCAATTATATATATATATATACATATATGTATATATATGTTGCAGGTTTCGGGATGAAGAAAACACAAGTCCTAGGCTATTATTTATAGGTGTAGGTCGAGGGTTTTAGGCTGAGATGTTAGAGTTTGAGTTTAATATAAACAGCTTCTTCCGGCCTCATCCGTTGGTAGTTTACATCGCTTAGGAGTCGTGTTTGTTTGCCGGCTAGGTGAGAAAGAAACGAAGGAGTTCTGATCGTAGCTCCTTTCTCGTACGTAGTTATATATTAGGAGTGTATATTATATTGTAATACGTACATAGGTAGTTTAGTTTATCTTTATAAAACAATAAATTTTTATATTGTTTGCAATAGTATACTACGTATTATTGTACAGTCCCTCCGTATTATTGTAATTTTGAATAATACAACTTAAAAAGTTATACATAAAATTATTTTTATACTAAAACATTACATCTATTGTCGGATTATTTTTATCTGACTAAAACGTCGTAAACTTGGAAATTTTATCTGGTTAGAATGTCACAACTGTTGAATTTTTGATTGACTCACTTAAAAATTTAAAATATCATTTCCGTAACATTTTATCTGCCTAATAAAATTTTTTTTTTTTTTTTTATTTAAATTTTTGAAGTGTCACAAATGGTCCGAGCATTGTTTTTTGTGTGAGCCAAATATGAGGAATACGGCAGGCATAATGCTTGAGAAAGTATTCTGTTATGCTACAATGAGGATATACATTCTGAGTAGCTTCAACAATATAGGCCTCTAAACAATCCAAAATATCTAGGCCTCTACAAAATAACAAAAAATTAGGCCTATACAACATGACAAAAAATTAGGCTTGTACATTATGACAAAAAAAGGCCCGTACATTATGACAAAGGCATGTACAAAGACAAAATAAAAGGCATCGTTACTTATGGAATGAGTTCATTACTGAAAATGATTTAGTCCTCATCATCTTCATGGATGAACTGGCCATTACTTGCATCTACTAAGTAAGGTGTACCACTGTTACCCTGATGTTGTGAGAAAAGAGCTTCTGTGGTTTCCATTAAATCCACAAGAACCTCTATGTTTATGGACAACCTTCCTTCTGTGCTCATTATGACCTTTGCATTGTGTGACAGCTTGTAGTTGTTTCCTCCTGCACTTTCATTATCTCTACCATAACCTATTGATAACTTAACCAAACCTTGTTGAGAGTGGTGGGTGAAAGTTGGTAGAATACTTCATCTATTACCTTTAACAGTTCATCCACATTCTTAAGTGCTTGTTGATCTTTCAAAGATTGAATAGTCCTAAAGAATCCAAGTTCTAGTATGTTAAGATCGGGAGAATTAGGGGGTTGGTTAGTTAGGGTAATATTAAACACATCTGCTTTTGAGGCTGCCATAAACTCTGGGTCTGAATGTAGAATACTAGAATGTGTGACCTTGCATTATCTTGTTGGATTATAATGTCCTTGCTTAACTGTTGATGCCATTTTTCCTTTATGCTAGGCAACACAATGTTGACAAGCATGTCTTTAAACACTGCTTTTGTAATACTAAGTACATGTTTGATTTCCATTACCCCTGCATCCATATTCTTGCTTTTCCTTTTTGCTGCAGTCTCAATGATCCCAAATTACTTCACCATTATCTGAAAAAGTATAGTTGATGAAATTCTACTCAGTGCAACAAGAAAAGATTCTGGGGAGGTGACAGCTCAGAAAGGTGTGTTCTAAGTCAGCTAGCCACTAAATATTCAGTGACAAGAAGAACAATTTTCAAGATCTAGAGCAAAGCTAAAAAGCAGATTGAGAAGGGGGAAGGCTATAGATTCTGGCAGAAAAAGAGTGTTGTTTGATGTAACCAACATTTTAGAAATCCCTTTGCACAAAAGGACTAACATAAGGGCACTTATTTCGGCCAGGTCAGTTTCAAAGTCAAGTATTTGGTAGATTGGTTCAGAGAGGAGTGCTTAGAAGTCATACAAATGCTACTAAGCATTTGCTAAGTGATGCAAATAAAAGTCACAGATTGATGTTCTGTTCAAGCAAAATAGACAAATCCATTCCATCTAAGCCAGTGTTCAAAAATTTCCATCATGGCAACACATTGATGAGAAATGATTTTTCTTGTCAAAAACATCACAAAGATACTAAAAATCAAAGCTTTTTTTTAACTTTCCTAAAAATCCGTTCCAAGTCAAGGCAGGAACAATTTTCCGGGAGGGAGGGAGTAACATTTATTTTAATGAATTGCTTATTAATTGCAAATTTCTATTGTCATTTTAGGAGAGCTAAACTCACAATCTACATTATGCAAATAAAGGAAACTTTACTAATATTAAAATTAATTTTATATTACACACACATATATAGCGGAGGGAAAAGAGATTCACATTCAAGGTACTCATGGAATAAAAACTTTTGGAGACAGGCTCTATTCACCCACCAAGAGGGGTACCAGGTTCACAGTTTTGGGGACCGAACCGGGCAGTTCTCGTAAAGGTTTTGGTCCGGAGCGGCATTTTTTTTTTGTTTCATCCTTGGAACCAGGAAAATTTTTAAAAAGAATATAACGAGATCGGGTCCGGAACCAGGACCGGACTGACCGGGTACCCGGAACCAGCCCAGACACGGAAACAACCGGGTCAGTCCCGAGCTTCATCCAAAAACGGCAAGTATAGGGCAGTCTCAGCCCAGAACAGGGACCAGACCAACCCAGGTCCATGACTAATGACAGGTAATCGATTGTTCACCATAAATGAAATTTGAAAGTGAGAGATAGATGAACCTATTGAGCCAAACACAATTTGCAAACGTCCCCAAAGAGAAAGATCAGTAAACATGGAACTGAGGAACATAAATGCATATGAGGCAAGCAGTTAACAAAAGCAACAAACTCATGGTCCCATAAAGCATCATTATTAATGTAAAATTCAACTGATTCTCTTGATGCAAACAGAGTAAAGATGATCCAAAAATCTAATAGTAGTACTCCGTAATTATAAATAGCATAAGTAATTTATTAGATGAGTCCAAACGAGCAGAAGCCTTCCAACTTATTCGTGGGTAGAACTGCTATACCAGAAACCTGTGTAAATATGCTCTCAGGAGATGCGTTGGAATAACAAGTTTATTGTGCTCAAATTTCCCTGCTAAATATGATGAAGAAACCATTGGCATCTCCTCTTCGCTCCAAATAGGCAACCACTTCTTCAGTATTTCTAAACACAACAGCACATTGTGAGTCTTGACAATTTAGTCACTCTTTTCCGAGAAAGAGTCTCCTCTTCGCTACTCTGTTTGGAAATTGCTTTATTTTACCAAATGAGACTCCTGTCTCTTCTTTTGAGACTATAAGACTTTTGAAACAGGACTCTTGTTATGGGGCTGGGTAACTTTTTTTAGCATTGAAAAATAAGTCTTTATTTAGAAAACCCATGGAAGAGTCCACAAATCAAATTTACGAAAACATGTTAAGAAATTAAACAAAAATTAACCGAGTAATAAATAGTAACTAGGCAGGCAATATGGGGACGTCATTTACCTTGGTAGCTTCAAGAAATGTTTTATGTGAACGCATGGGTGGGCTTAGAGAAGGGCGAGCCCTCGCGCACAGGTGCAGGACCCCCACTGTATCCCTGCACCGGCAGTGTAGATGTTGGCTAATTGCTAGTCCGAGTCTTCATAAACTCCACCATCATCAGACAAGTCATCAAAAGCTCGTACATCAAGCTGATAGCGCAGTATACCCCCAATTCCACCAAACCCCCTACAAAATTGAGACCCTTCTTGCGATTTGTTGGTGACGAACTCCAAAGAACAACCAAACCGTCTGTACTCATTTGCAAACCACTCCAATAAGGACATCTTTTCTTGAACTTCCAGATCAGCATTAGTTTCCGAATCACGGAAGTTACTCTTGTCCATCTCTTGATCCGTGTTAAGGTGCTTTATGATAATATCTCCGGTTGTGCTGTTTTTTAAGACGTATCTGGTGATTTCCAAATTTTCCCAAACAATAAGCGTCTCAATAGCACCCATCTCCAGTACTTTCAAAGTGTCCTCCGTCCCAAATACATACTTTCCTGTGTCCTGACTGATCTCCTCAAAGTACTTCCCTATAAGTTTTTTCTCTTGAATGAACTTCACATTAGCCAATACCTCAGCAGACAGCTCGATAGCCTGGTTAAAGCCGTTCTCCCCACCGTAAGAAACATCTACGACGTTCAAGATTTTACTTTTGAGACGGCCGTCAAACATATCCGCTTGACTAAGTTCAGTCTTGAAGTCAGCGGATCCAGCAAGTATCAGTCCAGAAACGTTTGGCTGATTTGTGGCAGGACTTATGAAGAATTGGGTGGCAAGTTCGGCTGTCTTCCTCACATAGTTGTGACGCTTCTCCATTCTAAGACGTGCAAACCGAAGAGCTGATTGACCTCCTCTCCCGTGTTTCTTGGGAAGGTCAACACTGAACTTGTGAAGAACCTCCCTAGTGTTTCCGCTCAATGTCCCAAAGAGAGTCCCATTACCATCCATGACTATGAACCCAAATTTGTCATCAGATTCCAAGAGTTCATTCAGAGCTTCTGTGTGAAATTTGTTGTCGCAGAGGTACAGCGAAGCATTTATAGGCTTGAATGGTTCAAAGTCAAAAGTGACCTTTTTCTCCTTCCCATCATCTGTGACAATGGTTCCAGTGTAGAGGACAAGACCATTTGGGGGCACTTTGTTGTAGAGCTTTAGCCTCTGCTGGGCAGATGTGATTGCGCCAAGAACAGATTGACGGTTCACTCTGCTTTTGATGTTTGATGCAGTTCCGAACTCATCTCCAAGCATCTTAGTTACACGAGAGACTTGGTCACGTGGAGGCATGATTAGAGAGATCATGCTGGTACCATTGCCTCTAGCAGCTTCCAACGCCTTGATCAGCTTCTTGATTTTCCACATCTCAATGTTGTTATCATTTTCATGTGTGTCAGCCATTGTGAGGTTCAAAGAAACTGCAAAATACATGCAACAAACTGTAAAACCCAGGATATACCAACTTCCAAACAATGACTCAGGGTCCTAAGACTATAGTGACCACAGTTAAAGGGAAAATGGTGTTTCAGCTGAAAGATGGCGGTTACTTTTAGCGTTTTCAATAAGTGAAAAAGTTGTTCTGTAAATAGCTGTTCCACGTTAGCGTTCTTCGACGGAAACGCTGAAATAGAAACAACGCAAATAGGAGAGCTTTGGGTTAACGTTTTGAAATATGGCGGTTTCTATTAATTTATGGCCAACAGCTAAATTACCAAACACCTTTTGACAACCCGCCAACTTATTCCTCAAGTGAAACCTGCTGATTGAATCCGCTATTGACAACCCGCTAACATAATCCGCTATCCACTAACCGTTAAATGCCAAACGCGTTCATTGTATCTTAATGTCTCCAACTTGTAAATATGTAGTACTAAATAGTACTGTAATGAGCATTTTACACTATTATGATTTTATTATTAATAGAAGAGGAAGAAGATAAGAGATAATACTATTTCAGATTAATTTCAACAATGAACTGAGTACAAGTATTTATACAATTGGTTATAAATCTAACTAACTTCATAACAACCGGGTCCCCATCTAGTATACTGTTTTAAGATGATTCTTCTAGTCTATTAATTATTTCAAAGACTGAACTTAGACATGATTTGCAAACAAAACTAGAAGACCAAATTTACTGATTTGATATAACTTTTAATTATTTAAGAGATGAGGCATAGAGAATAATGCAAAAGTTCAAGATGTGAGGAGAGTAAAGAGGCTTGCAGAATGAAATACATACAAGAGTTGGATTATTGCATCATCAAATAAACAAATCAAATACATATGCAGGTATCATTTAAAAAGAGTAGCCAGATTAAAATATTTCAGCTGTAAATCTAAAATGACAAGCTTAAATAACGACTTTACATAGAAAACTGGCACATCAAAAGCACCTCTCAATAATAAACCAGAGTATTTGAACATTCCCAATACAAATCACACTTTGAAAACGGGTTCAATACAGATCTAGATAGGTAATCCGTGCAAGATAAAACATAATGACATAAAAATATAGATTATGACTCGATCGGAAATCACAAAATTCGTTTAGATCAACATATCGAATCCAACCGATCACTGATACACAAAAACCAATGCATCAACCACCAATCAATACATTAAAAGGAAGATCAAAAAACAAACATATGCTACATCATCGAAACGTAATAACAGCAAGTGGCCTAGTGTAAAAAAACTAGGCCTAGTGTAAAAAAAATGCTGAACCCAAGCTCGGAAAACACCAAATTTATATCCAGACGACCAATCTGAAGTAAAGTTTCGGAGATCGAAGGTTACAGCTGCCCTTACCTGCAAGATGGAGATGGGAGTATGGCGTCCCCAAACGACGATTGATCACAAACGACGGAATAGGTTTTGTTTATACCTAGTATGAAAAAGAATGGAATATAATTCTATGTGCAATCGAATTTCGGCGCCTACCAATAAGCCGTCCACGCGGTAATGTGTTAAAAACCACGGAATCTTCATCAGAATAAAAAAAGTCAATAATTCCTGAGGGTAAGGGTGTTAAAAATACATACTACATCCGGTTGTATCGTACACGTTTACACGGGAATTTTATTGTACTTAGAAGTTGTTCACTTCACCTGATTTGAATGTTTTTTATTTGAATTTTTTAAGTTCTGATCTGATCTGATATGAATGTTTCTAATCTGATCTGATCTGAATCTTTCTGATCTGCTATGAATGTTTCTAATCTGATCTGAATCTTTCTGATCTGATCTGAATTTTTCTGATCTGATCTTATCTGAATAAAATAAGAATAAGGAATAAGTAATAAGATTAAGACGAAGAGAACAACTTCTTATGCCCTTCTTCAACCTGGCCTCCGCATCAGGCTTCTACGCTCTGCCTTCGTACAAAGCTTCGCACCAGACTTCTCCGATTGCGCTTGCTTCTTCGATTTGACTTCGCATCAGGCTCACTGTAGTCGACGTTCACCCCCTTCTCCTTCAGCTCTATGCTCGTCTCCGCCTCTCACCATTAGCCCTTTCTCCTCCGGCACAAACGCAACGGCTCACTGTAGTCGACGTTCATCCTCTTCTCCTTCAGCTATCTGCTCGTCTCCGCCTCTCACCACTAGCCCTTTCTCCTCCGGCACAAACGCAACGGCTCCGGCTCCGGCGTAGTTACATATCCTCCTTTGTCTTTCTTTTCACTCTTTTTCTTTTTCTCAAATGAGACTAATGAGTCTAATTCATTGTTGAGGAATCCATGTTGCTATTGATCTCAAATGAGTTTTATATTAAACTCAAATGAGTATACGCCTAAAAGAAATGAACTCACATAAATTAATATTGAGCAGATTGAAAATGAGTTTTATGTTAAACTCAACTGAGTATAATGCTCAAACTGAATGAGCTTACACAAATGAGCTTTTGAATTATTTGATACTCATTTCGTAAGTTATGTATGCTCATTTGGTATTGCTTTATGCTCATTTTAAAATGTTTCACATTTCAAACATATACTATTAAATTAGATTCACATATTGAAATTAATTAAAATTGATTATAAACATAATTTAAGAATTTTTTTATAAACGAAAAACTAATAAAATAGAAATCGAATTAGATATGAAGCAGATATCACTGGTGCTCATTGTTAGATTCTCAATACTGAAAAGAACAAACTCGGTGCTCATCAGAATTGCATAAATGCTCATTTAAGAGAAAACATGATTTTCACCAAAATTACAAATTTAACACCGGCTGTACGGTGCCAGCCGTACAGCCGGCTGTATGATATACGCTTCCCCCTTAAAATAGGATTAAAAGTGGCAAAATTGCGAAAATAGGACTACATTTTTTAAATTTTCCTAATAGGACTATTTATGTGTGTTTGGATAAATATACGCTTATAGCTTTTGAAATGTTTTATTTAATAATAAAATCATAAAAAAACAAAAACAAAAAAAAATCGTATAACAAAATAAAAAAAATACAAAATATTTATAAAAAAATATTTTTTTTTTAAAAAATTAAAAATAAAAAAAACGTAAAAAAAACCTCCGCCTCTGCCACCCCTAGCACCATCAACTCCCATCATCGGAGAAAATCTGCCAACATTTTTAATGATGTCATAATGAAGGCAGATTGAAAAAAATGATGGCATAATGAAGATTAATAATGCCATTTTCTTGACATTTTCAGAAAAATGACATTTGTTAATTATTTTTACGTTTTTTATTATTATTACGATTTTTTTATAATTTTATTATGAATTAAAACATTTCATTATGAATTATACCCCTTAGGGTCCGTTTGATTTAGGGGATGTCAGATTACCATGAGAATGTTAGATTAGTAGGTATGTTAGATTGATGAAAATGTATTTAATTTGTAACCCATTTGTGTTTGGTTACGCTTAAGGGAATGTGACATTAAGTTGTTTGGTTGAATGATATCTTATATTGCATATTTGGTGAATTACTTCAATGCCCTTTAAATATTTGTCTCCTAACACATTGAACTCATTACAATCTATAATTAAAGTAAATAAAATTATAGAAATGCCTCGTATGGAGGCATGCCTATACTCGCCTGATAACTGTTGGTATAGGCAAACTCCACGAGTGCCAAATGGTTGACCCAACTCCCTTGGAACTCCAATGCACAAGCTCTCAGCATATCCTCTAATATCTGTATAACCCGCTCGGATTGTCCATCCGTTTGTGGATGAAAAGCTGTACTGAATTTCAGTTTTGTCCCCATAGATTCTTGGAACTTCGGCCAAAATTGTGATGTGAATCGCGGATCTCTATCGGATACAATGGTTATAGGAACCCCATGTAGCCTCACGATCTCATCCACATACAACTTGGCTAACCTTTCCAGTGCATAGGTGGTGTTGATAGGTAAAAAGTGTGCACTCTTCGTGAGCCTATCAACCACAACCCATACGGCGTCATAGTTCTTAATCGTCCGTGGCAGCCCCACCACGAAATCCATAGTCACGTGCTCCCACTTCCATTCAGGAATGGAAAGTGGCTGTAGTAACCCAGCCGGATGCTGATGTTCTGCCTTAACTTGCTGACAAGTAAGACACCTACTGATGTACTCGGCTATTTCCCTCTTCATACCCGACCACCAGTAGCTTTCCTTCAAATCACGGTACATCTTCGTGCCTCCCGGGTGCATGGCATACGCCGATGAATGAGCCTCCTCTAAGATGGACTTTCGGAGCTCATCATCTAACGGTACACACACTCGGTCACGAAATAATAAGAGACCATCGTCTCTCTCCCTGAAATCCTCAACCGGTCCCGCTAGCATGCGTTCACGGATCTTCATAAGTTCTTCGTCGGTTTCTTGACCCTTCTTGATTTCATCAAGTAATGTAGGTCTCACCTCGAACCTTGCTAACAAGGCACCATCGCTAGATACCTCCAATTGGGCTCTCAATGCCCTCAAGCTAGTCAATAATGCCCCAGATGAATTCTTTCGGCTCAAGGCATCCGCTACCACGTTGGCTTTACCGGGGTGGTACTCGATAACTAGATGGTAGTCTTTTATCAACTCCATCCACCGTCTCTGTCTCATGTTTAACTCTTTCTTAGTAAACACGTACTTCAGGCTTTTGTGGTCGGTGTATATATGACATGTTTCCCCGTAGGGATAATGTCTCCAAATCTTCAAAGCAAACACCACCGCCCCCAGCTCTAAGTCATGAGTGGGATAATTTACCTCATGCTTCTTCAACTGTCGTGAAGCATAGACAATCACCCTCCCATTCTGCATCAAGACACATCCAAGCCCTTGGATGCTTGCATCGTTGTAGACATCGTACCCCACACCCTGTTTGGGTAGTGCGAGTACCGGTGCCTCGGTCAATCTCTTCTTCAGTTCAAGGAATCCCTTCTCACATCGGTCATCCCATACAAACTTGGCCCCTTTTCGAGTGAGCTTTGTCAATGGCGATGCCAAAACTGAGAACCTCTCCACAAATTTTCGGTAGTACCCCGCCAATCCAAGGAAGCTACGAATTTCCTTGACGTTCTTTGGCCTCTCCCATTCAGTAATGGCCTCAATCTTCTTGTTATCCACGGCAATCCCTGATCCTGAAACCACATGCCCGAGAAAGCCAATCTCCCTTAGCCAAAATTCACATTTGGAAAACTTGGCATAGAGTTGCTTCTCCCGTAGTGTCTCAAAAACAAGTATCAAGTGCTCCTCATGCTCTTCTTCACTCTTTGAGTAAATCAAGATATCATCTATGAACACAATCACAAACCGGTCCAAGTATTTATGAAATACTCGGTTCATCAAGTCCATAAATGCCGCCGGGGTGTTGGTTAGCCCGAATGACATAACTAGGAACTCGAAATGACCATACCTTGTGCGGAATGCACTCTTCGGTATGTCATCCTCCTTTATCTTAAGTTGGTGGTACCCCGACCTCAAGTCAATCTTCGAAAACACCGTCGCTCCTCGGAGCTGGTCAAACAAGTCATCAATCCTAGGCAAGGGATACCTATTCTTGATTGTGACCTTGTTCAGTTGACGATAGTCAATGCACATTCGAAGTGTTCCATATTTCTTTTTCACGAAAAGGACCGGTGCTCCCCACGGAGAGTGACTCGGCCTTATGAAACCGTTATCCAATAGTTCTTGCAATTGGGTTTTCAATTCGTTAAGTTCAGCGGGTTCCATTCTGTATGGCGGTATAAAGATTGGTTTGGTGCCGGGTTCAACCTCGATCACGAACTCAATCTCCCTATCAGGTGGAAGTCCCGGCAAGTCTTTTGGGAAGACGTCCGGATATTTGCACACTACTCTCACATCATGGATGTCTATCTCTTCTTTGGTTTTGTCCACCACATACGCTAGGTATGCGTGACATCCCTTTCTCATCATATTCCTCGCCCTCACGGCGGATATGATACAACTGTTTGATTTGCCTCTATCTCCCTCGAAGCGTAAGGTCAACCCTTCACCGCCTTCGAGTTCAAGAACCTTTGTGTAGCAATCGACCCTAGCATGATGTTTCTCAAGCCAATCCATTCCGAGGATTGCATCAAACTCGATCATACTCAGCGGTACGAAATCACACGTCAAGTTCTGTCCCTCCACCTCCACCTCACACGATGGATAGTGGTTATCTCTCTCGATATCATCCCCTAGAGGCGTGGACACCAATAGGGTTTGAGTCATCGGTACAAGTGGTCCATTGAATCCGCTGGCGAACGCCTCACTCACAAATGATCGTTGCGCCCCGGTATCAATAAGGATCCTTGCGTCTCTCCCGTTTATCTTTAGTGTTCCTACATTCATAAGTAATGTATAACACACTATCTAATCAATTGGCTTGTTTCTTAAGTCGCAGAGTATGTTGGTCGTGGTTCGGGTGGGGTCCGTTTGACACCCGTCCGAAAATTCCCGGTTTCTAACCCTTAGAACCGTTCTGGGACCGACCCTGGTGAAAGCCGGCCGCTTTTCACGAAAGCCGGCCGGTTTTCGACTGCGAGAATAATTCTCAGTAT